TGAAAAGCAGACAATCCCTACCCTAGGAGTTTAGAGTTGAGTGTTAGATCAAATGAAACCAGTAATGACATGCAGAGCCGAGTTATTCCTTACTGATAGCTCATGTTGGTAAATGTCAGTCACTGTTTAAACACACACTAGAAATCTAACTCATGTCCCACAGGGCAGCTCCGTCTGGCATTTAAGGACAGTGAGCACATCACCTTTAAAAATTGAAAAGGATCATCTCTTTTTAAAAAAGGGACTTTTTCTATCTTTTAATGTGAACTAGTCAGACTTATCTGTTAAAATAGAAACTATCTATATACTTCCATGCCTACATAGCCAGGATTTATAGATTATAAAATCAAGGAAGCCTACGTTTCATTTTCTTTTGCTTTATTAAAGGATATAAAAGTATAAAACATAAAGAAAGGGAAGGGAATGGTTTTGTATACAGATTCCATGTGTTCCTTAGTTAGGTTAGAACACTTGGCTTCTTTTCCAACACCTTCCCTCGACCACTGAAACATTTATTCTTTGTTATTTTCACAGCTCTGAACTTTCAAACATAAACCCTCACAAGGAAACCTAAACAAATTAAATGAAATCCATTTGCCCTCCACATACAAAATGCATTTCACTTTTGCCTTAAGGATGTCTTTGTTTTCATTATTATTAAAAATGTCGGGAATATTTTGCCTACTGGGAGCACAGATTTTCCTCCCATTTTTCAGTCTTACTCAAAACCCCTTACTACTGTATATTTTATGAGTTACAGAAAACTCTCGGTTGTACTTCTTAAAATTAAAAACAAAACAAAACTCTGAAGCTAATGTGCGCCCTCTGCACAGTGATTCTCGCCCATGCAGTGTTGGGGACTTACAGGCAGAAAAGTAATAGGAGAAGCATTTGTAGACAAAGACATACTCGCCAGATCTTTGGAAACAGGCAATGTCATGATCCTGCTTTCATCTTGGGATGTGCAGACCATGAGTTATTTTAATCATTTTCAAGTTCTCCTCTTCTTGGTATTTTTGGAAGCATGTAGTTAGAATATAATATTGAAATCTCAATTAAGTGCCTTGAACTCTTCACTTGCCTTTGCTATCAGGTCCTATGAGCTTCTTACTTTGCGTGTCCAGAGTGTGGATGACTTTCCTTACAGATGGAAAGAATGAGTGTGTCCATGGGAAAATAGAACAAAAACAATGTCAAGAAGTAGCAGCATTAGAGGACTTGAGAATTTACGTACAAAGAGTTGCTTCTTTTATAATTCATTTCCACAAAGACAGAGAAGGTGAATGTTATTGTTTGAATCTGAAATGCACCATTGGCTTATGTATTTGAGTCTATGGTCACCCAAATAACTCTTCCTTAAAATTAACTGATACACTAATTATGACTTAAATAGGATATAATGTCAGGAAATGATTAGTACAAGAGCTAAGACCTGCAAAATACTCAATAAACACCACCACCACCACCACCACCACCACCACCATCACCACCACCATCACCACCACCACAACCACCACCACCATCATCACCATCACCACCACCATCATCACCACCACCACCACCATCATCACCACCACCACCATCATCACCATCACCAACACCACCACCATCATCACCATCACCACCTCCACCACCACCATCACCACCACCACCACCACCACCACCACCACCATCACCACCATCACCACAATCACCAGCAACAGCAACAGCAACACCACCACCGTCACCATCACCACTACCCATCACCACAATCACCAGCAGCAGCAACAGCAACACCACCACCGTCACCATCATAATAACCATCACCACCATCATCACCACCAACCCAATTTAAACACTGTGTATTTGATTCTTTTATTTTGGAGCATCTCCAAGCCAAGACAATGTTAATCCAAGTTCTATAATTGAAGGAGATTTGATTTAATATAAATAAATACAAATCAATAACAATATGCGTGGGGCTGGAGAGACTGCTAAGCAGTTAAGACCACTGTCTAATCTTCCAGAAGACTTGGGTTCAATTCCTGGTATCCATACGGAGACTTACAACTATTTATAACCCCAGTCACAGGGGTTCTGATGTGTACACAGATGTGGACTGGCTTCAGGGTGCACAGCATGAATATGGTTCCCAGATATACACTCCGAGGCAAAACACCCATAATCATAGACAATGAATAAAATTAAAAAGAAAAAAAGGAGTAAGCACACAAAAGAATCTTCATTGAGCTTATTGAGTATGTCAGACACAGTTCTGAATATTTCATGTGTAATATATCATTTAGTCCTCACATAAACCACAGTATTGCTTATAAAGATTTATTTGTGTGTGTGTGTGTGTGTGTGTGTGTGTGTGTGTGTGCATGTAAGGTAATGCCACATTTATGCAGCTCCCCACAGAGGCCAAAATAAGGCACTGGATTCCTTGGTACTGTAGTCATTGGTGATTGTAAGCAATAGAACATGGATGCTGGGAACTGAACCGTGGTCCTCTGGAAGAGCAGTGTGCCCTATTAAAGATAGAGCCACCTCTCAAACCTGTAAATTCCAACACTATAAATCTACTGTTTATTTGTCTAATCCTCTGCCAAATTCCTGAGGGACTGCCATTACAGTTATTCTTCCTCATAATAGATGGGGCACAAGTTCATTTCCTGCCTTCTACCTGGAGTCCAGAGGAAGTAACTGTGATATTTGTTGTTCCTTCTAATTCCAACCCCCAGCACTGCCTATAATCCAGTAGAATAAAATATGGCTGTCTGGCTCACTGAATTTCTGTCCAAACAGCCAAAGTATTAACATTGGTAAAAAGAGAAGAAATGCTGTATAGAGACTTCCTGCTCCAACATGGAGGCAAATCTACAATCAAGGGAGAAAACAAAGCATCATTAAAGGTAGTGTAACATGAAGTTGGGGACTTCACTAAAAGTCTACGTATCGAAGTTCGTTACAACAGTAATTTCTGTACTAGCAGGTCTGGCCACAGAGACTGCAATGGGGTATGTAGACATCTACTAGACATTGTAGTTACCTGTGTTCTCACAGATGCCATCAAGATAACCACTTTCAAACACAGACCTGTGACAAGCACTTAATGACAGGTTCAGGTCCCGCCAGGTCTCTCTCTGGGGATGAGCAGGATGGTGAGTGTCAGCGGCCCAAAAAAACCACACCAGGCCAGGAGTCTTGTCAAAGCAGGAACTCAACTTTAATGTATCAGCCTTTTGCTTATATAAACTTGGAGCATAGGGAGGAGGAATTTTGGTGGGGTGAGATGACTTAGGGGTGGGGAAGGGTGACAGAGGGTATGAGGTGACTGACAGGGCCAATGGCAAAGCTTTACATCAGCAATGACAGGGCAGATGCAGGGCCAAACAGATCTTGCTGAGTCACCCTGGTATGGAAGTGACTGAAACATGTCTCAAAACTCAAGCCAGGCTTAGACTCTCCCACAAGGCCACAGAAACTTGAGTCAGGCTCAGGTTTGTCTACAAGGCCCAAACTAGGGCTGGAATGAGGCCCAAGAAAGCACATCACAAGTGATGGATGCAGCCAGAGAACATATATCCAGAGAACAATGCCTATGTCCGGTCAAGACCAGAGATGTCAAATAAATTCATCAGCCACACTTTTGTCTGTTAAATGCAACTCTGATGTTTGTGAGATAACACGCTGTAATTAAAGCCACAGGCGTTTATTTCTAAAGTAAAATGCATAGGTGTTTCCAAAGTTGTGTATTAACCTTATACATTTTATCATTTCATAGCGGGATTCTGCTTAGATTAAATTTTCGTAATTAAGCAGCCACGAGATGAAGGAGTTACCTTTCATAGCACAAGTCAAATCATTAATTACTCATTAGAACAGTCAATATTTCTTCATATTTTTTTTCAGTATACAGAATGTTCTAACCTTTTATAAATTTGAGCCATTATTTTGCCTCTAACCAGAATCTTTTTGCAAGCCTCAGATCAATGTGTAAGAGGATAATCTATTCCCCTCACTCATCAAGTCTTTGCAGGTAACCGCTATTGCATAGTCCAAGCACAGTAACTGAAAGTAAATATGATTTACCACACCTATTATCCCTCTTTAGTAAGGAGTGCTCTGAGTGTTCCAGAAAATCCACACACACATGTTCAGCTGACAGGCCACTCTGAGTACTCCAGGAGATCAACACACCCACACACAGCTGGTGCTTCTTTCTACATTTTCTGCACTCAGATTTCCCATCTCCTTGCTGAAGATTGACTTAGAAGAACAATCAATGCACCTGACATCTTATATGTACTTACTGCCCTCTCTATGTGTTCCTGGACATGTATTTCTATTCAGGGACAAAGAGAAAAGTAAGTATCTGTGAGTGCTAGCCGTGCTCCGTGTGCAGAGGAACACAGAGGTCTTAATTAGTAGGTCTTTGGGATGCTGAAGATGGACTCCTCACCAGATTCTCCTCTCAGAAATGGTGTCACATTCTTAAATGAAGTATCTTATCTGCTTTCACTCCCATCAGAGAAATATTGTCTAGGTGCAATGCTGATGATTGAATTCTGGTTCTTTATGTCAACACATAGACAGCCAATGTCACTGTATCACACTGTCATTTGTGGACAATTCACCTGTCATTCTGTACACTTGTAGGCTCTTGCTCGTTAAGTCTAACAGTAAAAGGACCTCCATTTCTTTCCATATTGATGAAATACCAGAGTATTTCTGAGAGACAAAGATCTTAGAAACATATAAGGTAGTGTTTCTCTACCTATAAACTTGTCTCCCAGACCACTCACAACATGTACAGGTTATTTATTTTTCTTTGCTTTTCTACTTTAGAGGTGAATATCACAGACAGAAGCACAAGTTTCAGAACAAATGAAAATATTGCCCTCTTGTTCTTTCCCATTTATTTTGTCTTTATGACGTATGTAACAAGAAGCCCTAGGGTTTAACGCAAATGCCCTGATTTTATTTTATTTTATTTTATTTTATTTTTTTTTTTCAAATTTGCCAAGCTGTGACTGTTTATTAACTGACCAGATTACAAAAATACCACGGGCAACACCTTAGTTCATCCGTCTAATAAGCCTGTTGATCTGGTCTTCCCTGTTGCCAGCGTCTCCACCTTCTACAAAGTGAGTTGTCTTCTTCTTCATTCCACCCCGTGGGGAAGATAATTTGAAAGGCCACAGGAAGTTATTTGCTTCCTTGAAGCGTTTCCCAACTGTATAGATCTCATGAATTAGATCCTCCATGCAGATGATGCCAAATTTACCAAGAGACCGAGCAATCAAGGAATTATCCGTCAAGGCAATCCGCTTCTTATTGATTTTGCCATAGCCTCGCTTGTAGATGAGCTCATTTACTGACTTCAGGTTGGGGTACCCCCATGCAATGTACGGTTCCACGATCCTCAGCATGTTAATGGAAGCCTTGTTGAGCTTAACAAAGGTGCCATTGAAGATCTGTCGAAGACGAAGGAGCTGCAGTACCTTGCGGACCTTTGGGCTTACTCCATTGATGCCTCGGATTCTGATGACAAACGCCAATTT